CTTTGGTGGAGGGCACCAGGGTTGTGAACGAGCTCAGCCGAACCAAACTCGGCGGAGCCTCGGAAGTGATCTGACTGGTTAGTCGGAACCGGGTGGAAGCGAGCCACTCGTCTGTCCCGGAAGGGCCGGACCGCGAGGGGACCACCCTCTGCGCAGGCCATACAAACCGCCGACCTAACTCGGCGATTCGTTGTGGTTTGTGTAAGGAATCCACATCTGACGATATTTGTGTGTTCTACTACACCACAACTGGTGTCGCGACCCGGGAACAGGAGTGTGTGCTTGTTTTTATAGGTGCCAGCTAACCAAGTTAAGAGGAAGAGAAGAGAAAGAGAAGAGTGAAGATGGTCAAGGGATCAGCAACTCTGAGCGACGGAAGCCCAGCGACGGCTGGAGGATCGTCTCTCGCGGGGTCGGACCCGGAGGATCAACGACTCATCGCCATGACGATGGAGGTGGGACGAACCGTCCAGTTCGACGAGGATGGCCAAGACCAGGAGAGCGAGAACGGAGATGCAAGTGAAGGAGAGTATGAAGAGAAGGCCGAGACCGCTGAGCTCGGAGAAACGAAGACTACCGCCGAGCTACTTGGCGAGGTGGAAGAGTTGACGCTGCAGGTGGGACGCATGGGAGCCCCACGCCTTGTCGAGCGCAACTAATCCGCCGAGCTCGACGAAGGTGCGGACGATGAAGAAGATGAAGAAGAACATGGCGTTGCTCAAGGGGACCGTCCGCCCCTTATTCCGAAAGCGACGAGGAACGCCGATACGCCGAGCGCCAATAAAGTGTTGGCTCGACTCGGCGAGGAGATGAGAGCGAGATCGGAATGGATGATGATGTTCGCGCCTGTAGCGATGGCGCAGGCGAAGTGGCCGATGTTGGGTCCCGAGTTAACTCAGCCGGTGCGTGCAGCCAACATCAACCAGTTGGTGGAAGAAACTGTGTTGCTGTTGAAGGCGATGGGCTATCGGTGCAACAGCCGACCAAACAGCCTCATCCTGTCCGACTGGAGTCTGACCCGTGCCGGAGCCGAACTCTGGCAATGGAAGAAGAAGCTGAGAGTGGCGTTTGGATTGGAGAAGGCCCCTGGTGGAACGAAGAAGGTGTACAGCCGAGAAGCCGAGTTCAAACCACTCGGCGAGGACCCGAGCAAGATTCCTTTGCCGAAGACCCCGGAGACGAAGAGACGTGAAGTGTTCCGCGCTACGCAAGGAACTCCGTACTTCGAAGACTCTCACATGCTGACTCCACTGAAGCTAAACCCGACTCAGCGAGCGCCGAGTCGTGGGCAGCGAAATGTAGGTCGTTACCGTGAATTGTATGACGCTGCAGATGAGGCTGAGGCTTACGAGGAGGATGAAGAAGACGACGACGCCTTCGACGTGAGAGGTAACCGTGAAGAAACCGTGAAGGACTACATCCGAAACTTGAGCTTTGACGCGACTGAAGAGGACTCGACGCAGTACCTCGAAGTCCGAACCCACGCGTCGCTCGACAAAATCGCCGAGTTCGAAGGAAAGCGCTACCGCTCTGACGCGTCGCTCCAGTGGCTCAAGCGTTTCATCTACGAGATGAAGAGCACCAGGATGCCCCAAAGTGCATGGTGCGAGCCTTTCTCGCTATGCTTGGGACGCCCGGCGAAGAGTTGGTACAGGCAGCTGCCGAAGAAGACTCAGCGACGTTGGAAACTACTCAGCGAGGCGTTCCTGGATTATTATTGCTCACAGTTTGACCAATCCGCCCGCACTCGTTACTACTCGGCGAGACGTAAAGTCAACGAACCGATCTGCGACTTCCTGATCCGACTCAACGGGTATGCTCGGACGGCCAAGATCCAGTACGAGAAGGGTGGCGCCGACGCAGCTGACCATGTCGAACACTTCTTGCTGCATTGTGGTGATGACGATGTGATGGATTTGATGTACCCCTTGCAGTTGGAAGACATCAGTAAGGTGGAACAGATAATCAATCGTCGGATCCTCGGCGAGAAGCGCAAGAAGCAACGCGACCGACTCGTGATCGCACGAGGCCGAGATGACAAGCGGAAGGATCAGAGCCGCCGAGATGAGAAGCGAAGTCGCAAGGAAGAAAACCGCGACCGCCGAGTCACTGTCGTTGACGCTGACTCCGACGGAGAGGAACTCATCGATCAGAACCCGCCGAGTCCGTACAACTCCGAAGACGAATGGGATGATGAGGACCAGTCCGGAGGACACGACTCAGCGGAAGACGACGACTACATTGACGCCGGCGTTTCCAATGATAAAGGAAATACACCGGACCGCCGAGAGAACTCGGCGAGAGACCAGAATGGCTCGAACCGAAGCTGGGGAAACTCAGCGAACCGACCTCCGCGACCGTACAACCAACGAGAACAGTCGAACCGTGGAGATGGATCACGCGACA